AGAAGACTTTTCAAAGTTCCTTGGTATATTAGGACGAATGACATCCTTAGGGACCTCAAGATTGATCCCATCAAAAAATACATAAAGGATAGAGCCTTGAAATTATTTGCGAAATCTGACAGACTTACTAACACCGCATTATCAAATCTCAGAATGGTTACAGGCTCCTCGGGGAGGTATGCAGATCTGAGGTCAATTATTACTTAGTCTGATGATGTGATAAATAATAATCCAGTCAAGGCGCAAAGGGGGGTTTTGTAGAAATCTCGCAGTTAATATGGAGTAAAAGTGCTCAGGTGCACTGACTCAACTTCCCTCAACATAATAATTGAGCAATTTAACCTTTCTGAAATCATAAAAATATATTTTATTTTAACTTTTCATTAATTTAGTTATTTTTTAAAACTTATTGTCTTAATCAAATTAGTAAGTGATAGCAGAGATTCGAACCTTTATGTTTAGCCAAACTCATAACAAAGGCGGTAATCATATGTAAAATATTTTTTTTACTATTACCCATCACTATTGAATAATATTCCGATTTCGTTCTGTTTCAACAACAATTACTAATAGTATCAGGTTTATAAAGCCGATCAAGCAATTTTATTAGGAATAAAAGCCAGCGACCATTTCATTGACCATTGACATTTATTCAATAACTACTAGTCAACATAGTGTTAAACACAATCAACATCAGGTAAAAAAATACATAGCACCAAAAATTTTATTAAAATAATCGTTCTGAGTCCATGAAATATAATAATATCGACATCGTATCGTAGTGTCGGTCTTCACACTTAGTAGTAACAGAAAATGAATTTAAGTAGTCACCCATTTTGACAATTAAACTGCAATAAGCACTATAATAATTTTTAATTATTACTGTTAAAATGAAGATAACCAAAGATTTTTAACCAAAGGTTAAGAAAAATATACGATAATATAAATATACTCATTTTACCGACGGTCGAAAGACGTGCTCAAAGTGTAGTGCTCAACTTAACTCAAATGTATACATAACAGTGGCAATAAATCGACAAAAAATTTATTAAAAATTCATAAATTTGAAACTGCAAGTATGTAGCGTCTATGATTAAATCGTATACACCGCTTAAGTGTGACAATTATTTTCATACTTCATTGTTTACAATGGGTTTCGTTTCCAGTACTTTTTGACTTGCTTAGAGAAGAAGATTGAGACTAAGTCTAAGTAAAAATAAACCTTATCAACAAAACAAAAAACTTGAAAAAATTATATAGTGTTTTTTTTTAAATTTATTTTAAGCTTTTAAAATTTTTATTGGGTAAAATATAATTTAAAGTAATATTTATAAGTTTAATTACCTTAAAATGGATAAAAATAAAAAAATAAAATCAAAAAAGTAAAAAAATTGAAAACTTAATTACAATTAATTAATTACAATTATGTATTGAATATAATGATGATAATTAAATAAAAATTGATAGGACGTTACTATCCTTAATATCGAAATAAAAGATTCCCGGTAATCTTTTCACAATCAAGGGGTCCCCAACTTGTATATCAACTTCTTTATTGCAACCAGTTTCTTGTAGAATTTCATCAAATGAGCTACACTGATATATGGGTGCAAATGAATAACCTCTCACTCCAGCTGCATAAATCAAATTTGCTCGTAGGTGTGGACAAAAGCCAAAAATGTCAATAGCACAGCTTTCGAGAGTCCGACCCCAATTTGGATAAAAGGAAGTATGCCCTACAGGTTCAATGACACCTTGTCGTCCAATTGTAGCATGGATAGTAACAACATAATTGGCATCGGTTTTTGTCAAAGTTTGAGATGGATCATCAACATCGATAAATGGCCGAGCCGGATCAATTCCAACGATAGCTTCGATTTTACCAAGCTTAACTTGTTTGCCTGTAAAACCAGCAACATGTGCTCCCAAACTATGTCCAATTACAACCAATTCATTAAAATTCAATTCAAATTTGATGTGTAAAAAATCAATTAATTTTGCTACTGAAACGGCTACATCAGGTAATACTTTCGATGCGACTGATATATACGGCATATAGGCATACTTGCTCCAATCAACAGCAATAATATTATAGCTTCCCGTTGCAAAATAAGCCTCTCTTATCGGACGATTTGGAGTTGTCAAGTGAGACGAAAGAAAACCATGAATAATGAACCTAAGGATTGAAAAATGTATCAATATTTTTAGAAAAAGTATATATACACACGTTTAATTTATATACAAATTTAAAAATGGCACTCACTTGGTCTGATGCGAAGAATTGTAATTCGAGGATCTAATTGAATTTTCATCATTTGCATTGATTATTTGTGGATCATCCGGATTTTGTTTAGTGTACAGATAAAATTTGACACTCTCAACAACGTCCAATGGGTCTATAGCAGCATTAATTCCAACTAAAAAATTTATAATTTATATTTTATATATATAGTATTTATATAATTTTTAATACCAAAATATGTTGAAAAACATAATAGGATTAAATACGTGTGCATATTGAATAAAATTCACTGTCAACTAAACGTTTAGAAAATTGTTTCGCTTAAATATTATTCAAAGTAACCACTTTATTCAAATTAGTTTTGTTATAGATTATTTTTAATTAGTTTTAGAGATAATTTTAAAAATATACCTCAAACTAATTACTTTAACACAGATAAAAATTAACATAATAATTAAATTTTATAAATAAAAATAATATAATAATTTGTAATTTGGATTTGTATTATGATCCAATTCTAGTTCTAATTTGACAGGCATGAGTTCTAGGCCTGGTACTTGCAGTCCAAACAAATTATATATGGACTATAAACTAATTAAAACATAAGTATAAGACCACTGATGATGAGTACTTGGCAACACTCGAAACAGCGTTGTATAGTCAGCCAAATTTCAATGAATTAACTAAATTTTTGTTGTTGTCTTTTCATTTCTATTTTATTCTATTTAAAAGTTAGAACTTTTAATTAGTTTCTTTTCGCCATAGGACACGTCACTCTCGACAAGAAAATATTAACATTAAAAAATTTAATTATGTTTTATTTTGAATAATAATATTAATTCACAAATAAAATACAAATTGTGTTTCACTTTTAAGAAAAATATAATATTAGTCTTCTTAAGTAGATAGACATACATTGGTCTAGCATCTGAACTAAGGAATTGGATTAGAAGTCGTGCTTAACAAATGATCAGCTACTCATAGTAAAGCAAAACATGGCTTAAATTATAAAATATATTTATTAAATAAATATATTAAAAAATATAAAAATCTGTTTATGCATTTTACGGTATTTTTTTTATTATATACACATGTAAAAACTTATTTAATACAATTAAATTTTTATATTAATTAAAAAATTATTAAACAATAGTTTAATAATATTTTATTTTATTTTTAATAGTTTTATTACTATTGTTTATAGTAGTAAACAACTAACAACATTTCCTGAATGCATAGAAAACAAAACTGAAGAAAACTGAGAAAAGGGAAAAGGTGTATGGAAGCCCATAGAAAAGGAAGGGATATGCAGTCTATTACGAAACTTTTACCCGGGGCCTACGCAGAGCATTTAAATACTCACTCATTTAGCGCACTTTATAAAATGGTATTTTAATAAATAATCATTAAATACAGAAGTTGAATAAGTAAAATATATTTCTCTACGGTTAGCATCGATGTATAAAAATAAAATAAATTCCTCTTATAACACCCCTACCAGCCGTGAGTTATCCGACCTAACAACGACGCAATTAAATTTCTTACAACTGTACGAATTAATGAATATAGGTTGTAATGAGTGTCAACATCCGCATCCGCAAATGAGTATCATCTTCACATATTATAATAAGTCATCTTCATTGACATTTATATCTTACTTTTAGTCTACATCTTCACCTGCAAACACATCATATTATATTATAATATATGTGGATCTCTTTTGTTTCCTTATAGAATGAAACCATCCGTTCAAGACATCATGTTGTATATAATGTGACACAGCAGACACACTAAGTCTGCAAATCATAATTGCTTGTTGCTTCTTCTTCTGTTGTACTCATCCATCAGTACCTTTTGCTTTTAAAATGAAGAAACTGAAAAGCAAAAGTGTTTTTAAACCATTAATAACATTACATGGTGAGAATTAATTAAGTTATTATTATTATAAATGATTAAGTCTTATTATATTTACTCATGTCTGAGTACTTCAACTTTCTAATCATCGATGTTTTTATTGTTAAATTATCGAACACATTATGAATTCATACGCCACCAGAATAAGAAACCATCAGATGAAGAAAATAACTACTGAAATATGAAGTTATTTCTTTCGTCCGATAAAATAATCTTTATTATTAAACTCCATTTTTTTATCATCTTCTTATTTCTAATGCCATATCCACATACTCTACCACAGCTTTTAAAATTTCAAAATAAATGATCGACTTCTACTTCCTCATGTAATATTAAAACTTTAAAAAATTAAAGAGTAAATAAGTAAAGTAAATCTATACGAATAATCTTCAATGAATCATATTTATATGAGATACATCTCTCCATAAAACAAATTTTTTAAGAAGACTTTATCCAAAAAAAAATATATTCCTATCGAGCATATCGAGCTTTTACGAGTATATCTCAATCATTTAATATACATATATGATAAATTTAATATATGGAATTAACTTTATATAATTCTACGAGAATGAAACTTTGTCTAAAAGGAAGACAGTTTAAAGGAAGCAAACAATTACCGCTCATATGGCTTACAAATTGTATAGTTGACCTAATTATATATAAATGTACCTTAAATATGCTATTATTATTCTCTTTAACTAACAAATATTTAGATAAATTCAATATACCCTTATCAATCAAGTATATTATTATTCACAATAAAACGCAAACTATTTTATTATACTTTCGATAGAAAAAAATTTTATTGATATAAAAATGTGGTAAAGTATATTTATGGATATTTATATAATTGGCTAAATACCAATGTTTCTTTAAACCTAAATATCATATTAAACGAAAAGTGCTAGCTTGGAAGCATCTTTAATATCAAAATAGAAAATTCCCGGTAATTTATTCACAATCAAAGGATCTCCAACTTGGATATCGACTTCTTTATTGCAACCGGTTTCTTCCACAATTTCTTCAAATGAGCTACACTGATAGATAGGTGCATATGAATAACCTCTCACTCCAGCAGCATAAATCAGAATAGATGTTTGGTGAGAGCAAAAATCAGCAAATATATCAACGTCACAATTTATTTGTCGACGACCCCAGTTTGGATAAAAAGAGGTATGACCAATTGGCATTGCAATGCCGTTCCTTCCACTCGAAGTGTGTATCGTTACAACATAATTTGCATCGGTTATTGACAAGCGTTGTGAAGGATCGTTAATATTAATAAAACCCAGTGCTGCATCAAGACCAACAATTGATTCAATTTTGCCTAATTTAACTTGTTTTCCAGCAAAACCAGCAACATGTGCTCCCAAACTATGTCCAATTACAACCAATTCGTTAAAATTTAATCCATAATTGGTATGCAAAAAGTCAATTAATTTTGCGACTGCTGCACCTACTTCAGGATATACTTTCGATGCGACTGTTACGTATTCCCTAAAAGAATACTTGCTCCAATCAACAGCAATCACATTATAGTCTCCTGTCGCTAAATATGCTTCTCTTATAGGACGATTTGGTACTTGCTCATAGGATGCAAGAAATCCATGAATAATAAATCTAGGAATTTAAAGGAATATTTCATTCAAAATATGCAATATATGTATATGGTAATAATTATCAAATATTGTAATTTGTGTATTGTAATTTGTAAACATTGAAAAATTTTAAAATAGTACTCACTTGGTCTTACGTGAACTATCGTAATTGGACACTGCTACAGAATTGTCTTTATAACTGATTATTTGTGGATCTTCCGGATTTTGATTAGTGTAGAGGTAGAACTTAACACTATTAAGAACGTCCAATGGGTTTATTACAGCATTATTCGCAACTGAAAAATCTGTGGTTGGATTGGGATCATAGAATAAGGTTTTTACTTAGTTACTGCAAATATTATTTATTCAATGTATATTACCAAAATATGCGAAAATTAATAGAATTATATATGTCTTCATGTTGAACGAAATAAAACTTTCTGATGAACTCTCAGAAAATGTTCGAACTTATATATTGTCGAAAGTAACTAGTTTATTTAAATAAGTTTTATGATAGATTACCTTTAATGACTTTTTTATAGATAATTGTTCAGATATTTTAAGCTAATTACCTCAATTCAGAAATTGCTCTAAGTTCGTTATCATTTGTTATTATAGTTATTCGACAAGTACCTTAATTGATACTATATTGGCAGGTCATGTAGCCTATTCTATGTATTTGCCTTTTATTGTTTGGCCTATCCTGTAATTTATATTGGTATTTTACAAGTTCATCTTCAGAGAAAGGATCTTAAACTATTGCACAAAAATATTATACTTTATACAAACGGACGTAACACGATTCTTTTGTTACGAATACTAAGTCGGGTTCTCATGACATGTACCCACAGCTACAATATGACATTATGCATAATTTTTATTTTGAAAACACTCAGCACATATCGAGCCTACTTTTTAAATGTAGAGGAGGTCTTTTTTATCTGAACGGTACAGAATTTAATATATCTAAACGTGATTGTTCTTTGTGTAATCGTCATGAAATAGAAAATATATGTCATATTATTGGTGTCTGTTCAAATTTCAGAGAACATAGACGTATTTTTTTTTTTGATAAAGCATTTCTGTCCGAAGAAGAAGTGAAAGCCTTATTAAACGGTAGCAATATTTATAAACTATATAAATTTATGAAAAATGCTTTAAGTCGGAAGATTAGAAGAAGATTAATTATTGATGAATTTATATAAATAATAATGTTAATAATATACACCATAGTGTTAATAATATATGTGCCAATCTGACACACAACAAATATGTTATTGTCAATTTGGATTTTAAATAAAATTCTATGAACTTGGTAAGTGCTGTATGAATTTTTTGAATCACTAAATAATAATAATAATAATAATAATAATTAATTTTTTTTATCTGAACCATATGAATGGTACAAAATATTTAGTTTATGCATTTACATAAATAAATAATTATATACGAACTGCAAATCAACTGACTTTTCAACAATCAGCAAAGCAATTAACTAATAAAAATAAAATATAGTAATTAAGTTAACTGTTGATAATATATGGGTAATAAGCTCTAAGTTACATTAAATATGTAACTATTCTGAATTTACTTGTATCTATTTATATATATATTCATATATATATAAATTTAAATTTTCAAAATTAATTTATAAAAATAAAAGTATTTTAATTAAATATTTAAATATAGAAATATATAGAATATAGAATATAAATACAGAAACGACTTTTATTTGCAACAATCTTAAAATAGGAATTTAAGTATTTAATGTCGTGCTAATCATTTTGTAATAGATTATTTGTCATAATAACGTAATATTTAACATTTGTAGTGCATAACATAATAAATTGAAATGGTGCAATATCAGAAACACAATGCTATAAATGCTTTCCAACTGAATTTATAAATATCCCAGTTTCAATTTAAAACTAATTTACTGCTTTTACCAACATTTAAATAGTATTCGTCCTTAGTACTAAAATAATATATTCCGTCAACCCTTTCTATATCCAAAGGATCACCAAGCCGAACATCAACCAATTTATTGCAACCTATCTTTTCTTTTATTTCTTCGAAATTATCACACTGATATATAGGTGCATACGATTTCCCTCGTATTGAATCGGAATAAACTACGTTCGCAGTGTCATGCGAACAAGCACCAAGTAAATCGATTCCGCAAGATGGGAGTGCACGTCCCCAATTTGGATAAAATGTCATATCTCCAATTGGTCTTAAGAAACCCTCGCGACCACCAGTAACTTGTAGAGTTAAAACAAATTTAGCGTCAGTCCTTGCTAAGTGAGTCGAATTTAGGGGATAAAAGTATAATGCTAATGCTGGATCGGATCCGACAATAGCACCAATTTTACCGCGTAATACATTTTTACCGCAATATCCAGCAATATGTGCACCCAAGCTATGACCTATCACAACTAATTCGTCGAAATTTAAAGCAAAGTTTTCATTTAGTAAGTCTACGAAATCAGCCACTATTTTTCCAACTTCGGGAACTCGTTTCACAGCTTGTGGATAAACCGAATATGCATAAAAACTCCAATCAACGCTTATTACGTTATAGTCACCTGTTGCTAAATAAGCATTTCTGACTGGAGGATTTGGTGTCCTTTCATAACTGGATCTCCAACCATGTATAATAATCCTGGAAGAGGAAAAAAATTACATCATTCCATATAATTAATTTTTAGTACATACATTACTTACTTGGTTCTATGTTCGGGATTGTAGTTGGATATATTTATTGAATTTAAATCATATATAGATAAGATCTGTGGATCTTTGGGATTCTCACGGGTGAAAAGGTAAAACTTTACTATATCAGTACCATTTCTTCGAGTAGATCCTTTTGTTGCTACTACTGAATGCGTTTAAATGACTTAAAATATTAAATTAAAATTATTTTTATCACATCTAGTACTTACATAACACTAAAAATATGCTGGAAAATATATGAACAATTAAGTGTTTACACATTGCGAATAAATTGTTAATGTGACATAAAAATTTGTTCTTTTGCCATTTATATACTGGAACCTCTAAGTAAAATTTCCAACACTTGTTTTATATAGTTTTATGCCCCCATGAATGAGTAAATAATTTATTCATTCAAAATAATTAAGTAATAATTTTTACAAAATTTACATAAATAATAACAATACATGCTGTACCATATACTCGTATGTACTTTAAATAGCATCTAACATATAATAAGCTACGTGCTCTATAAATATTTTTTTGTATCTAAATATATTAGTTGAGTTGTGAAAGTGCTATCCGAATAAGTTCCAATATCTGATGCTATCTATTATTAACCAATGAAACTTTCAAAATACTTGCATTTTTAGAATTTTACTCTACTGTTTGATGATGTTACAATGATTTCTTAATTATTTAAGAGTAATACTTTTAATGTTAACATAAATACATAAAATTAAAAGAAGTAATATCAATAGTACTTTGAGCAATTTATGCATTAATAACCATCCAGAAACTTCAGAAGAATTGGATAACTGTATACAGAACCTGACGCATCTATTAAAACAGGCCTTAGATAGCTGCTCTACCCTCAAAGATAGAAAACCATGTAGTTATTTTAACTTACCGCAGCATATTAAAAACATGATTAGAAATCGAAATAGAGTCCGGAAATTTGCTCAAATAACGGGTGACCCAGAGAGCAGAAGAGAGGCCAATCGTCTTTCAAATGAAATCAGGAAAAGGATCTATGCATTTAAAAATATAAAATGGGGTGATTTTCTGATGGGTCTTGAAACAGGGGATAAAACCTTCTGGGCCATGAATAAGTACTTCAGGTTGAAGCGTAAGCCAGTAATACCACCTAATACCACTAATACCACCTCAAGCTAGGTAAATTTCCTAAGTTCTGGAAGCTGGCCACAGTCATTGTCTTCCCAAAACCTGATAAGAATCCAGAATTCCCGCAGAACTGGCGCCCCATAAGCCTGCTATCAACCATAGGAAAGCTTGCCGAAAGGGTAATTCTTAGCAGATTAAATGATGTAGTGGCTTTACGCAATATACTCCCTGACGAACAATTTGGCTTTAGGAATGACCTGTCCACGGAGCTTGAAACTGGCTAGAACGACCCAAATGATCCCAACAGCCCTTAGTAGAAGAGAGTCAACTGGAATGATCATTTTTGATATTTCTAAAGCTTTTGACAAGGTCTGGCATGATGGTCTGATAGTTAAAATGTCTCATCTAGGTGTTCCAGGCAGACTAACTAAGATCATTGGCAGCTTCCTACGTGGGAGGTCCTTTCGCACGAAAATCAACAGCGCTCTCTCGTCAGTCCGATCTATAGAAGCAGGGGTTCCTCAGGGATCGCCACTTTCCCCCACTCTCTACAACATTTATACATCTGATATTCCAATGTTAGGTCCCTCGACTCTGGCGTTATATGCTGACGATACGTGTATGTTATACTCAGATAAATGTGCTCTCAACATAACGAACACACTTCAAGAGCATATAAACCTCATTCTGGAGTATTTTCAGAAATGGAAAATAAAAATCAAAAATGAAAAAACTAAGGCTCTGTTTATAACGCGTAAGTGGAGACAGAATCCGTCGAGAGTAAGAGTGGGTGATATGGTGATAAACTGGGAGGATAGCGTTAAATATCTCGGCATCATGTTGGACAAACGATTCACATGGCTTAAACATGTTCAACTGAAAAGAATTAGCTGTGCCAAAATTCTTCATTACCTCCAACCACTATTTAGAAAAGAAAACCTCAATGCTAAGAACAGGAAACTGATATATAACCAAATAATTTGTCCTTCACTTCTATATGGTTGTGTAGCGTTTAGCAAAGCTTCAAACACTACTATTCACCAATTAGAAATTGCACAAAGCCAGGCTCTGAGAAGACTTTTCAAAGTTCCTTGGTATATTAGGACGAATGACATCCTTAGGGACCTCAAGATTGATCCCATCAAAAAATACATAAAGGATAGAGCCTTGAAATTATTTGCGAAATCTGACAGACTTACTAACACCGCATTATCAAATCTCAGAATGGTTACAGGCTCCTCGGGGAGGTATGCAGATCTGAGGTCAATTATTACTTAGTCTGATGATGTGATAAATAATAATCCAGTCAAGGCGCAAAGGGGGGTTTTGTAGAAATCTCGCAGTTAATATGGAGTAAAAGTGCTCAGGTGCACTGACTCAACTTCCCTCAACATAATAATTGAGCAATTTAACCTTTCTGAAATCATAAAAATATATTTTATTTTAACTTTTCATTAATTTAGTTATTTTTTAAAACTTATTGTCTTAATCAAATTAGTAAGTGATAGCAGAGATTCGAACCTTTATGTTTAGCCAAACTCATAACAAAGGCGGTAATCATATGTAAAATATTTTTTTTACTATTACCCATCACTATTGAATAATATTCCGATTTCGTTCTGTTTCAACAACAATTACTAATAGTATCAGGTTTATAAAGCCGATCAAGCAATTTTATTAGGAATAAAAGCCAGCGACCATTTCATTGACCATTGACATTTATTCAATAACTACTAGTCAACATAGTGTTAAACACAATCAACATCAGGTAAAAAAATACATAGCACCAAAAATTTTATTAAAATAATCGTTCTGAGTCCATGAAATATAATAATATCGACATCGTATCGTAGTGTCGGTCTTCACACTTAGTAGTAACAGAAAATGAATTTAAGTAGTCACCCATTTTGACAATTAAACTGCAATAAGCACTATAATAATTTTTAATTATTACTGTTAAAATGAAGATAACCAAAGATTTTTAACCAAAGGTTAAGAAAAATATACGATAATATAAATATACTCATTTTACCGACGGTCGAAAGACGTGCTCAAAGTGTAGTGCTCAACTTAACTCAAATGTATACATAACAGTGGCAATAAATCGACAAAATTTATTAAAAATTCATAAATTTGAAACTGCAAGTATGTAGCGTCTATGATTAAATCGTATACACCGCTTAAGTGTGACAATTATTTTCATACTTCATTGTTTGCAATGGGTTTCGTTTCCAGTACTTTTTGACTTGCTTAGAGAAGAAGATTGAGACTAAGTCTAAGTAAAAATAAACCTTATCAACAAAACAAAAAACTTGAAAAAATTATATAGTGTTTTTTTTTAAATTTATTTTAAGCTTTTAAAATTTTTATTGGGTAAAATATAATTTAAAGTAATATTTATAAGTTTAATTACCTTAAAATGGATAAAAATAAAAAAATAAAATCAAAAAAGTAAAAAAATTGAAAACTTAATTACAATTAATTAATTACAATTATGTATTGAATATAATGATGATAATTAAATAAAAATTGATAGGACGTTACTATCCTTAATATCGAAATAAAAGATTCCCGGTAATCTTTTCACAATCAAGGGGTCCCCAACTTGTATATCAACTTCTTTATTGCAACCAGTTTCTTGTAGAATTTCATCAAATGAGCTACACTGATATGTGGGTGCAAATGAATAACCTCTCACTCCAGCTGCATAAATCAAATTTGCTCGTAGGTGTGGACAAAAGCCAAAAATGTCAATAGCACAGCTTTCGAGAGTCCGACCCCAATTTGGATAAAAGGAAGTATGCCCTACAGGTTCAATGACACCTTGTCGTCCAATTGTAGCATGGATAGTAACAACATAATTGGCATCGGTTTTTGTCAAAGTTTGAGATGGATCATCAACATCGATAAATGGCCGAGCCGGATCAATTCCAACGATAGCTTCGATTTTACCAAGCTTAACTTGTTTGCCTGTAAAACCAGCAACATGTGCTCCCAAACTATGTCCAATTACAATCAATTCATTAAAATTCAATTCAAATTTGATGTGTAAAAAATCAATTAATTTTGCTACTGAAACGGCTACATCAGGTAATACTTTCGATGCGACTGATATATACGGCATATAGGCATACTTGCTCCAATCAACAGCAATAATATTATAGCTCCCCGTTGCAAAATAAGCCTCTCTTATCGGACGATTTGGAGTTGTCAAGTGAGACGAAAGAAAACCATGAATAATGAACCTACGGATTGAAAAATGTATCAATATTTTTAGAAAAAGTATATATACACACGTTTAATTTATATACAAATTTAAAAATGGCACTCACTTGGTCTGATGCGAAGAATTGTAATTTGAGGATCTAATTGAATTTTCATCATTTGCATTGATTATTTGTGGATCATCCGGATTTTGTTTAGTGTACAGATAAAATTTAACACTCTCAACAACGTCCAATGGGTCTATAGCAGCATTAATTCCAACTAAAAAATTTATAATTTATATTTTATATATATAGTATTTATATAATTTTTAATACCAAAATATGTTGAAAAACATAATAGGATTAAATACGTGTGCATATTGAATAAAATTCACTGTCAACTGAACGTTTAGAAAATTGTTTCGCTTAAATATTATTCAAAGTAACCACTTTATTCAAATTAGTTTTGTTATAGATTATTTTTAATTAGTTTTAGAGATAATTTTAAAAATATACCTCAAACTAATTACTTTAACACAGATAAAAATTAACATAATAATTAAATTTTATAAATAAAAATAATATAATAATTTGTAATTTGGATTTGTATTATAATCCAATTCTAGTTCTAATTTGACAGGCATGAGTTCTAGGCCTGGCACTTGCAGTCCAAACAAATTATATATGGACTATAAACTAATTAAAACATAAGTATAAGACCACTGATGATGAGTACTTGGCAATACTCGAAACAGCATTGTATAGTCAGCAAAATTTCAATGAATTAACTAAATTTTTGTTGTTGTCTTTTCATTTCTATTTTATTCTATTTAAAAGTTAGAACTTTTAATTAGTTTCTTTTCGCCATAGGACGCTCTCGACAAGAAAATATTAACATTAAAATTATGTTTTTATTATGTTTTTAATTATGTTTTATTTTGAATAATAATA